GGGCAACGGAACCGTAGGGGCCAGCAGCTGGCTGACTTTATGGAGAAAGAGGGACTTTTTATGATAAACTCTTTCTTCCAGAAGCGGCCCCACAGGAAGTGGACCTGGTCGAGCCCCGACGGTTCGACAAAAAATGAGATTGACTTCATTATGACGACCAGATGCCAACTGTTCGGTGATGTCTCAGTGATCGCAAGGGTGAAAACCGGCTGCGATCACCGAAAGGTTAGAGGCACACTGAACCTAAACGTTAAGTTGGAGAGGTCTTGCAATCCAGAATCCCGAGACTTTTCAGCTCGAGTTACGTAACCGCTTTCAGTGCCTAGAAGATTGCAATGCAGTGGACGATATGAATGACAAGCTCGTGGAAACTGTCCATGCGGTCGGAGCTAAGTTCTGCAAGACCCGCCACAGAAGAAAACAAAAACTCTCCGATCACACTCTTAATCTCATGGCTGTTAAACGGGAGATGAGGCTGCAATCGTCAACAGATTTGACAGCATACAGGCAACTGAACAGACAGATCTCCAAATGCATGCGGCAAGACTTACGCAACTTTAATACTGCTCGTATTAAAGAAGCGATCGAGCGGAACCAGGGCTCCAAAGTGTTTGCTAGAGATCTGTCTGCCAGAAAGAGCCAACTGTCAAAGCTGAAGACTGAGTGTGGCAGCATCATTTCCGCGACACATGAGATTTTGAGTCAGATTGAGAGGTTCTATGGGCAGCTGTACATATCATCGTTGGAGCCACACGCAAGTGTGAGTAACGATACAAGAGCAAGTCTTACCCGACACTATTCCGATGATATCCCGGACGTCAGTCTGAGCGAGATTAGAATGGCTCTCCAGCACCACAAAACGGCAGGGCCCCAGGCGAGGATGGAATTACAGCGGAGCTTTTGAAAGCGCGTGGAACACCGGTACTTGAAGTCCTTCAGAAGCTCTTCAATTCCGTCCTCCATGGTGGCACCACTCCGGAGGCGTGGAGCAGATGTGCGGTGGTCTTGATCTTTAAGAAAGGCGACAACGCTCTCTTGAAAAACTACAGACCGAAACTACAGATTTCCCTTCTGAGCCGCGTCTACGTGCTGTTTTCGAGAGTCATTACGAATCGTCTCGCACGCAGATTCGACGAGTTCCAGCCTCCCGAACAAACCGGCTTCCGAAAAGGCTTCAGTAACATAGACCACATACATACCCTGCGGCAGATTGTACAGAAGACCGAGGAGTACAATCTGCCACTTTGCCTGGCGTATGTGGACTATGAGAAAGCCTTTGATTCCGTCGAAATTTGGGCGGTGCTACAGTCCCTTCAGCGGCGCCAAGTTGACTGTCGGTATATCTAGGTGCTGAAATGTTTGTACAGTAGGGCTACGATGGATATCCGAGTACAGAACCAGAGTTCGAAACCTATCCAACTGCAGAGAGGTGTATGACAGGGTGACGTTATATCCCCGAAACTCTTCACCGCTGCGTTGGACGACGTTTTCAAGCTACTGGACTGGAAAGGATACGGTATTAACATCAATGGCGAGTACATCACTAACCTTCGACTGTATAACACTGCCGACGATATAGTCCTTATGGCAGAATCGCTGGAGGACCTTAGCACTATGCTCAATGAACTCAATGGTGTCTCCCAACGGATAGGTCTTAAGATGAACATGGACAAAACAAAGGTTATGTTCAATGTCCATGTCACACCTATGCCGGTAGTTGTTGGGAACACTATGCTCGAAGTTGTTGACGAGTACGTTTACCTGAGACAAATAGTCCGACTAGGTAAGTCCAACTTCGACCGAGAGGTCAATCGACGGATTCAACTCGGCTGGGCAGCGTTCGAGAAATTACGACACATCTTCTCGTCAGGTATACCTCAATCTCTGAAAACTAAAGTGTACAACCAGTGCGTGTTGCCAGTGATGACTTACGAATCAGAGTCGTGGTCCTTCACAGCTGGCTATATAAGGACACTCAAGGTCGCTCAGCCAGCTATGGAGAGGGCTATGCTCGGATTTTCTCTGCGTGATGGACTCAGAAATGAGGATATCCGCAGTAAAACCAGAGTGACCGACATAGCCCAACGGATTAGTAAGCTGAAGTGGTAATGGGCCGGCCATATATCTCGAAAAACCGATAACCGATGGGGAAGAAAGGTTCTCGAGTGGAGGCCTCCTACCGGTAGGCGTAGTGTAGGGCGACCCCCCACTAGATGGAGTGACGACCTGGTAAGACATGCAGGAAGTCGATAGATGCAGGTGGCTCAGGACCGTGCTTTGTGGCTTTGCTTGGGGGAGGCCTATGTTCAGCAGTGGACTTGTGAAGGGCTGTAATGATGATGATGATATATTATCTAATTAATAAAAATGACTATTTTGATTATTTTTAACTATATACTATACTGCTAATATTGAATTATCTTTTTATAGTGTAAATTATAATATTCGTCGAAATGTTAATTATGTATTCTAACTTTACATGCTAATGGTGCTTTATTTTTGTTTTTTTCATTTACTTACATATTGAAAATATACTTGAATAGTAAGTATTATTATTTTACTTAGCTACTGAATTTTAGGATATATTTTACCTTGAGGTCAAATATTTGAGGAGCAATAGTTATTACCTACTAATCTTTTATCTGCTATTCCTTATTTACTGTTTATAATGCTACATTTATTATTTTAATATTTACCTACTAGGTAGGTAATTATTAAAATAATAAATATAGCATTTGTAACTAAATATATATTTTTTACCCAATTACAATAACTATTGATGTATTGTGATTACTTTTGATTAGTAATACTGGGTGAGTATTAATAAATAGAACAAAATAAAATATAAAGTCAATTTTATCATCTTGAATGTAAGAAATTAATTACAAATTTTTTTAACTTCCTTAAATTATAAACATACAGCTGCAGCTAGTAAATGAACACATATGTGAATACATACGCCCATATATATGTGGTTATATATATATATATATCAATATGTAACGTAATTAACGCACACCCTCAGACATCCCAATTAGTATATTATGTTATAATCATAATACATACACTGATTTTTAGTTAAATATTTTTATGCACTGATTATTTATCAAATTAGTTATACTAATTCCGGAAGAATGTTGTGGTCACAGTACAAATCCACGAACGCAAAGACTTTAACGTGCTTGAAATAAAGTTCATTTTTCTTAATTTTTATTGAATGACAGAATTAGTAATAATACAAATAAAACTGCACTCTTAAAAGTCTTATTGCCTTAAGTTACAGTCTATTTCAGTTTGTTTTGACTGTACAGATTTAGTGTGACTGTAATTTACGTGGTTTTAATAATTTTTGGGATAAAAAAATTACCTATATTAAAAATGATAGGAATCGATTCAGTAAACGATTCTGAACAAACTACTTATATATATATATATATATATATATATATATATATATATATATATATATATATATATATATATACAACATGTAACATAATTAACGCACGCAGATATAGGAAGATTCATTGATGACAATAGCTCGTTTAGTTGCTAATTTCCCGCGCCTATTTCAATCATACATGCGACTGCACATTCATTTAATGATAAAGAATTTTCACTACAATCATCGTTTACTATTACAAATTTTTGGTTACATAATTGGCATTTAAGGTTAAATTTTGACTCTAAGCCTTTTGTGTTTCTCCGATAAGTTGTGGTTCGGTGAAGCTGACCATGTTTTGAAATTTTTATAAAAAGAAGTGACTGACGTCAATTATTATTCTTCTTATTATTTTTTCATTACTGCTTTTTTCAACCTCACAAGATATTTGTAACTGCAAAAAAGAAAACTACGTATAGGTAAGTAAATCAGTAATACAGTGTTATGTATGATTCAGACTAAATAAAGGTTCCTAAAAATAGACGTAGATAAAGAAATTGCATAAAAAAAATTACTCAAATAAAAATGCAATAAAGTTGTTAATTTTATAAGTAGTAACATATTAAAATAATAAGTTTTTTTTTAGGATATTTATGTAAAACGTAAAGGTTATATTGTGTTCTAACTACGTTCACGCTTGCGCATATAAAACCGCGGAGTTTCAGTAGTTTTATAATCAAAATAATAATTGACAACACTACCCTAAGTTTGCCTTGATTTTACCATCTCAAACTCGTTTTAGAAGATCAAAACATAGAGACAAAGATAAGAGACCATTTTTTATTTAATATGGTATATCAAGTCCGTAAAAATAGCTTAAAATACTCACGCAATAAAATTTTGAAGTGCAGGTAAAATATCTGCGACCAACGTTTGTACAATTCTGACGGTCACAGAGTCAACTTTTGCAGAACAGTAATCTGGTCCATAAATAAAATAAAGTCTCTAGCTCGAGAGGAGAGGAGACGTGGTAGCTCAGATGGTTAGCGCTTGCTGAAATTTTCACAGTGCGCGAGCAAACCGAGTTCGATCCCCGCCGGCACCAATGAAATTGTAATTTCAATTTTAAGTGTTTATTTACAACTTGCTCAGTGGTGAAGGAAAACATTGTGAGGAAACCTGCATGTCTGAGAAATAAGAAAAAAAATTATTTCGAAGACATGCGAAGTTCGACAACACGCATTGGGGCAGCGCGGTGGACAATTCCTTTCCTAGGACCCTTTCAGAAATGAGCGGAGGCCTGTGCCCAGGAGTGAGACGTATATAGGCTATAACTTTAACTTTAACTCTAGCTCGAATAGCCTACTAATTAAATTCAAATGATCGGTTTAGGCAAAGTAAGGCTAGGTAAGTCAAATTATGGCATTTTACAGTACTACCTTAGATATCTTTTACATAATCACAAGCACAAGTGTGTACCTAATCACAATACCTACTAAAGTATTTTGATTAGGTAAGTACACATTTGTGAACCATAATACCTACAAACCAAAAAATTAAATAAACAAAACTTTACATCTTCAACCATTTCAGTTGAACCAAGACAGGTATACTGTAATTATATGGTTTCTTGACTCGAGTCGTTTACTGCCGTATCGTCATTGTTCGTATTTAGCCTGCAATAAAGAATAAATTATATTAGATCTTGCATGACAACAAAACGGAATTACTTGTAATAAATTATTTAGATTGTACATATTTTAGCTATATATTTGAAAAGATTCATATTATTTAAAATATGGTAACCACAAAAAATATCACATCAAATTTCATAAATTCTGGTTATAATTTCATAACTCTATGGACTCAAAAGTGCGCCCGACTTACCCATTATCATTTTCAATTATTGGTAAATTTGAATAATTATTTTTGTCGTCAAATTCGCATTCAGGTATTTTTCTTCTCCTCCTAAAATAAAAATAAACTATGTAATAACACGTAGGAATTTAACGGAATAAAAGTAAGTGAACTTTGCATAATACATCAAATCACTTACAGAATTTCATTCATCTTTAGAGCATTTTGACGTCGTTGACGTTTATTCTTCTTGAATTTAGGCATTTGCAATAATCAATCCACAAAATTATATTTTCATAATCATAGCGTCTTTTTGTAGTAAAAAACACGTAAGCGCTTCGGTTGGTAGGTACTCAAATAATATTATGTTTGCGGCGAAATACGGAACGTCGTCGACGGCGACGAGCGACACAGTCACCTCATACGAACGCATACAGCGTAATGCCGCCCGCACTCTGCGCACGCCCCTTTATCATAGAATTCACACAATTTTCGGAATTATTTCAATTAAAAAAGAAAAACGACCTTAAAAATTTAAATAAAACGTGGAGAATATAGATTTTTAAATTATCTATCCATTAGTGTAATCCTCAAATGATTAGAGCGTTGCGTTTAGCAACAGATGCATGTAATCAAGAATTTTAGTCATTTTTTAAAAGTTGAATATAAATGTATTTATAGCACATAAAAATAAATTAGAACGTGGAACGTGATGATAAGATATCGAACATTAATAATTATCTTTTGATAAAGTAGGGACCATAAAATTCCTGTAACGTCCGTCCTGTCAAGAACAAGCGCGTAATTTATTTTATGAAGGATGTTTTTAAAATAAGATTAAATTATTGTCCCTCTCAATGATATCCTCATAATAAGGAAATTAATTATATCTTGAATTTAATTCTGTTCTTAGATTTTTTTCTGTCCTAGCTGTGATACCTATACTAATACTACTTCTTAAAATAATATTACCAAAAATATATCATGTATTAGGAATTATTATCACCATCACCATTATCATCATCGTCATTCCATTAAATGTGCAATTGTCATTTTAAGGTATTTCTTGGCAATTTTGTTTTTTAATAGTTTTAACTAAATCATTGGTTGAATATAATTATTTTTGTCCGTTCGATACCACTGTAAAGCAGCAAAATATATTCCGTAAATAAATGCTATTTTATTATATCAGGCGCACAATATAAAAAAAGTAAAATATTTTACTTCAAACGGAAAGGAGCTTCAACGAGTCCAAAGAAGATAAAAACAGGTGTTCACCTATTATTTTAGTTGTTTTTTTGTGTTTATGAAATAATTGTGCAGGGTACAAGATATATTATGTAACTCTTATTATGTTAGCAATAGACCGTACGCCGTACGGTGCGGGTAAAATTTATCGATCAAAATTATCAATCGAAAAAATTTATCAAAAAAATATCTATTAAGATAAGTGTCAATTTATTACTCACATAAGTCGCAAGTGTCTTTCAATTCGCTCGGTTTTTAGTAAAAACGTTAAGAACTTGCAATATAAGTGTTGTAAGACTTCTAAAGATAATAATATGTAGTCGATGTAAAATTAAATTAAAATTATTGTAATATATAGTTACTATATGTACCTCATAAATCTGAACTTACCTGTTGGTCGTGTTAAATTAACAAATTATATATTCTCATTATTTTATTTATTATTATAATATATTTTACACACTAAAGAGACGTAGTATTCAGTGGCTAAGCGTTCGCTGTGCATTCCACAGTACGCAGCAACCGGGGTTCGATCTCGTCGTTGTTGTCTTCTGCAAGGCATAGTACCATGCAGGTCTCGGGCCTCGGGTTATACCCCTTTACCCGAACATTCCTCACGGCACACTACAGTGTACCGGTCCTGGGCGCCTTGATGGTAAGGCGTATTATATTAGCGACTTTGGTCGCAGTCGGGTAAATTTATCATTAAAGGAGGTTGTCCTAATAATTGTGTTTAAGCACAATTTATTTGTCGAAGTTGGCCTTTCTGCGGCATTGTGGGGCTTACTCGACTCCCTAATCTATATAGGGAGTAGTTCTCTTGGATAGGGTCGCCCGTCCGGCGGCCGTGAGTGCAACGGCGCGAAGCCGTTGAGATGTTCATGTGGCCCGTTGTCGGCGCGGTCAAACATGACATTCTCTCTCTGTCTTCAGGTTGGCCGCTATGACGTGGTTTCGGACGTAGCGACCCGCACTGACTTTGGTTCTCAATGACAAATTCTGCTGGGCCTGAAGTCGCCGCTTCTGATGATCGCTCAGGAGTGCATACCAGGCCAGAGCAGCGTACGTTAGCAAGGGTCTTATATATGTTTTGTAAATAGTCAAATTCGACTTTGTCGGTAACTTGGATGTCAGGACAGGGTGGAGCATCGCCCGCGCACATCGAGCCCTGCGGTTAACAAGGTCGACGTGCGCAGTCATGCGCAACATCCTGTCGATCCGGCATCCAAGGTAGGTCACGGCCTTCTCATATGCGATCTCCTGGCCTCTGAGGGTTAGCGGTGCTGGTAGATTTCTATAGCGGCGAGTGAGCAGAGCGGTCGTCTTGCTAACATTGACGGCCATCCTCCACTCATCCAACCATGTTGGCAGCAGGTCCAGCAGACGTTGCATCCTGGCAGCTGCAATATGGGATCTTTTGGATGACGTGAAGTATGCGCTGTCATCCGCAAACAGCGTCAGCTCGACGTCGTCCTCCCATTCGTGCAGATGCCCTGCCAGGGTAGGTATGTCATTGGTGTAAGCCGCGTACAGGATTGGAGACAGAGAGCTGCCCTGTGGCACACCAGCTGTTATGGGTTTTATTGCGGACTCGGCGTCCTCTACACAGACGTAGAACTTCCTGTCTACGAGGAAGGATGCCACTAGCCGCAATATAGGGAGGGACACTGGTCTGGTCGTCTAACTTGTAGAGTAATCCAGGGTGCCACACCCGGTCGAACGCCTTCTCGATATCGAGAAAGACGCCCAACGATATGCGGCCGCGGTTGTGCTCGGCCGCAAGCAGGTGCAGCACTCTGGTCAGCTGTGTTGCTGTTGAGTGACCCCTCCTGAATCCATGCTGCTCTGCCCGAAGTTGGATGCACGGGCGGAGACGTCTTAGCAATAGTCTTTCATACAGTTTAGCTATATGCGGTAGCAGCGTGATCGGCCTGTAGTTGGCAGCTCTACGCCTGTCCTCTCCGGGTTTCGGCAAGACGATGATTTTGCCTTTCTTCCAGTCCTACGGGAAGTGGGATGTCCGCAATATGCCATTGTAGAGCCGACCTATCTCTACAAGGACTCTATTGGGCAGCTGTCGTAGTGCAGCGTTGGTAATCCCATCGTACCCCGGCGCCTTCCTCGGTTGCAGTACTCCGCAGTTCGGCGGGGGAGATGAACCACTCTCCTGCAAGCGGTGGCGCAGGTGACGACAGGAGCTCCTGCACGCGGCTCTCCTTCCGGATGTGGATTTCCAAGAACTCCGCACTTGCTGGGTTCGGCATAAACTGCTCCTCGAAGTGCTCAACCAGGATATCCGCTCTGCCCTTGGCATCGTAACGTTGTTCGCCCGCGTTGTTGGTCAGCGGGCAAACAGGTGGTCGGGTTTTCGTTAACTGCCGGTTCAATTTGTAGAGCGACGCGTGATGTTCATCAGCCTTCCAAATGCGCCGCTCCCAGGCCTCTCCTCTGTGGGCCTGTATTGCAACCGACAGTTCGTCTGTAATGGTGTTCAATTTTGTTTTTACTCTAGGGCAGCGAGTACGTGCCCAGAGCTTTCTCAGCGCTCTTTTATGATTTAGCTGCACGCGTATTCTCATCGGCAGCTCCTCCTTTCTCCCCGAGAGAGGGACGATCGTAGAGGCCGCGTTGAGGGCCTCTTGGATGCTCGTGGTTATTCTGGTTGCAGCGGCCTCTCTACATCGTCCGCTGAGTGGATCGGTGTGTGGACTGGAGGTCTCTCCTGTAGGTGTTGGTGGTAGAGCCTCCAGTCGATCTTGGTCTTAACAGCTCTGGGCGGCGAAGTCACTGCTTTAGTGCCAAGGGTTATCAGAATCGGGAGGTGCTGTGTATTTAGGTTATACAGCACTTCTACCACTACTGGGTAGTTGACGTTCCTAGTGAGCACGATGTCCAATACATCCGGACGCTTCCTAGGGTCAGTAGGGATGAGCGTCGGTACCTCGGGACCTAGAACGTCGTAATTATGGTTTTCTGCATCGTCGTATAGTTCACGACCCGGCGGGTTGATCAATCTTGACCCCCACGCCAGGTGTTTGGCGTTCAGGTCCCCAGCGATTATAGTGGGTGCCGTACCTTCCACTACCGTCCGGATGTCTGAGGAGTGAAATGGAGTCCCTGGCGGGCGGTATGCTGCAAAGATCCTTAGTTTCTCGCCCGCCGCCTGCATTTTTATCCGATATTTTTATGCCGTCTGGTTGGCACCTGGGTTTATTCCTTATATACCTCGTCCCTCCTTTAGATGGTGTAGTTAGGCAGCTTTAGATGCGTTGTTGGTCGTATCTTGGTTTCACCCAGCAGGATCACCTGGATGTCCTGTTGCTGCGAGACCGTGCGGAGTTCGTGGATCCTTTGTCGAATCCCGTCGGGGTTCCAGTAAAGCAAACGCAGGTTACTGTCCTACGTAATGCCTTGCCAGTAGTGTTGCCAATGCCTTCATGACGGCGGTAATAGGGTCCGTTCCGGCCCTTATGTCGGCCAGGACTTGTGTCCGTGTTGTGCCGACTTCGATGGCTATGCCTACCAATCTGTGGATGGCATCAGCCGTCTCGAAGCCGGACGTTGGTAGTCTACGATCTGAACTACGTTGTGAAGGCACTGGTCTCGGGGCATTTATGATGGTCCTCTCTCTCTGGGTAGAGCGTGCTCTATATGTAGAGCGGGCTCTCCTTTCTGGTAGAGCCCTCTCTGGTGCTCTACCCGTCGTGGTTGTTGGTGGTGGTCTTGCAGTAACCTGCGCCTGCGAGGCTATCGGTCCTGTAGTAGGGGTAGAGGTGCTCACAGCCTGAGGAGGGGGCTGTTCAAATTTTCTACTCCTGTTCCTCCGCCTCTTCCTTTGGGAGGGTTGCCTCTCCGTGGCGTTGTTGGCAGGAGGTTGGAGAGTCGCCCCGGTGGTTGCCCTTTGCTCTGAGGGTTTCACCGTTTCCATTGGTGCTGTAGAAGGGGGTGAGGGGGGGGAGCTGGTTGCCTACCCTTTCCTCTGTTGACCGTGGCCCACCCGTCCTCCTGGATGGTAA